TTATAAAAGGGTGCTTTCTTTGCAGTTGACAATGGAGATCTGCATGACTAATAGGGTTTTTTCACTAAAGTGAATTTTAGATGTAAGGTCGAAATAGCCAGACTGAAACATTCTCTAAGTCAGTTGTGCTTTTAGTTCAGCTACTCTGGGTTTAAATTTGATATTCACTTTGCAGTCGACTTGAATAAGTATATAACTAGTATTTGGACCTCAACATGATGTTGAGAGTCAAACATTGTCTTGTTTCCTCAGAGACTGAACTTATTCCAAATCAAATCCTTAGTGATCATAACATGGACAGGCATGGTGATTGCATCACCTCTATATTAAAAACAAATATTGCTTGATGTCGTATCCTGGCCAGTATAATTTTTCAAACCATTTTAGAGCAATCAAACAACTCAACAAAGTACCTCCTTGTAGGTGAATCCAGTTAGTTCCAATGAACAAAGCAGGGCTGCACTCATTGGCTAAGTGTGTCAGTTGAGCAATCTCCACTACTCCGCTAATGAGTACAGTATTGGATAAGCCAGGCTTGGGCCAGTGAAGACATCCTGCTTTCCCTGTGCCCGAGGTACATTTTCAACATATGTTTTTTTTTAACCCTTTCACCACCAAGCACTTTTGATTGGAAAAAAAAAATATTTGCAGAACATTTATTTGAATTTTGTAGATTGCTTTGCAGACTAATGTACAAATTAATATTATGTAAATGTATGCAATTTTTACTTCTTACCTATTCATTCCTCCTTTATAAAAATATCAGAAATCCAAAGTATTCGTCCTCAAAGCACAACTTAGTTATATAGGCCCACTAGTGCAACCCAAGTTTTTCCAAAGTGCAGATGTTTCGGGACCCCTGTCCTTTTATCAATGATAAATGCCATATTGATAGATTTTGCCTGCTGCTTTATACACATGAGCTGCATTAGGCAAAACTATTTTGCCTTTTTGTATTGTGCTATACACACTCCTAGATTATATTTTTGCTTTATAAAAATATCAGGTAAATAGCAGTACAGCTTACTAATAATGGTAACAGAATGTAAAAACAATTTCTGCGTTATGCCCATTTACAGTAAATACAGTTAAATCATATTTCTAAAATAAAGGTATTTGAAACTGCTATAGCATTATCAATCTCTAGACTGTTAAAGGGACAATATAGTCACCAGAACAACTACAGCTTATTGCATTTGTTCTGGTAAGTAGAATCATTACATTCAGGCTTTTGCTGTAAACACTGTCTTTTCAGAGAAAATGCAGTGTTTACATTGCAGCCTAGTGATAACTTCACTGGCCACTCCTCAGATAGCTGTTAGAGATCCTTACTGGGTCATGGCTGCCTAAAATGCATCCAAACATTCAGTGTCTCCTCCCTCTGCATGCAGACACTGAACTTTCCTCATAGAGATTCATTGATTCAATTTATCTCTATGAGGAGATGCTGATTGGCCAGGGCTGTGTTTGAATCATGCTGGCTCTGCCCGTGAACTGCCTCTTTGTCAGTCTCAGCCAATCCTATGGGGAAGCATTGTGATTGGATCAGGCTACCACTTCTCATGATGTCAGCAGACTGCTTGTTTTTTTTTTAGGCAAACCTCATGCAGAGTTACAGCTTCTGGCTTGAATACAGTAAGATTTTACTATATTTATGGAGGCATGAGGGGCCCAGGGGGGCTAGATGGTGGTTTTAACACTATAGGGTCAGGAATACATGTTTGTGTTCCTGACCCTATAGTGATCCTTTAATGTAATGCTAACAGCGAAATGGTAAAGTCCACTCACGCCCTGACTATAAGATTAGCATGATCCATTGAAACATCCTGTACTGTTTGAAAGAAAGACGTGCACTTACATTTTTAGGAAATTTACAGGCAATATATAACTAGTGGCTTCTGGCAAGAAATCTGTTTCTCTACAGGCTGGTGATTATAACTATAAATGAATGTGAGTAAGGTTTTATGGTGTCTATTTCATACTGCAAAATACAGGAAAATAAAAACATTTTATACTGGGTGTTGAAGGGGTTAATTCAGCTTCGGTCTCATGTCTATGTTCATATTTATCACAAGGTATGACACATATCTCCAGTGGTATAATTATAAATGTTTCCAAATTCCTAGGATGGCCGAATTTCACAAGGTTGGTTTTGATAAGGGCTTGTAGGTCAGTGCTTTAAGGATCACATTCCGCCTTGTTGATACTTTTTATTATGAATATACCTTAAGTTGATTCTCAGTCAGAAGACTATGCTTCCATCTCTGTGTAACAAGATCTTATTGCAATATTTGGACATTGTGAGAGCTCTCAAGTTTTAGATTAGTGTTTTGAAGCTGAATGTGCTGATTTTTTGGTCCTAATTTCATATCGCAAACATAAAATAAATTTATTTAAAGGAGGAACTAGACTATTTTGGCATCTCAGTAGTGTATTTGCATTCCAACTCTAAGGTCTATTGCACCACATATTTACCACTTTTCATTCTAATATCTTAGATATGTAACACATAAACCATAATTTCAATCAAACTGTAGTTCTGTGATCCAAGATAAGTTTCCTTATTTACAAAGCAATCATATTCACACAGTCATATGTAAAGTTTACTGAAGCATCATAGATGCCAAGTGTTTTTTTTTTTCTTTGTTCTTCTTCAGCAGAGTATCAGAGTTATTTACTAAAATACGAATTCAAGGATGAGTTAAAGTGAATTTCAAAGCACCGAGTAGCTGAATACAAAGCATAACTGCTTTCAAGATTTTATTTTTTCAGTTCGGTTTCTTTGACCTTTAAATTTTAAATTCACCTTGAATTCTCACAAATTCCAAGTTAGCTACCCTGTAATACGTTGTAACTCAATACTGAGATATTTGCAGATTTAGTTTTGGCTCCTTGTTATTATGCGTATTAAAGAAAAATACATAAGTATGACTAATGAACCCAACTCAGCCTCACAGATGCTAATGTGTCATTGTGCTCTTCTGCAGGTTTGTCGGGAGCAGTTTGTGGCTTTGCACAGTCAGCCAATTTTGCACAATCTGTCAAAATTCTTACAACAGAAATATTGCCAAAAGTAAGCCATGGGACGTGTTTTGGGTTGAGGAGGACAACATGGGTACAATAGTCATGCATGGACAAAGGATTTCCATCTCCATACCTTATAAACGTTTATTAACAAGATTGGGAATGGACAAGGATATTGTAAATATAAGGGCAATATAGCAGAATTGTAAAAAAAATAAAAAAATAAATCTCCAACTCTCCTGCTTTGTATATATATATATAAAAAAAGAAAATGGGTGAGAGATGTGTTATCTGATAGTGCTGCTAATAATAAAATTAAACATTTTCTATCATATTTTTGTTTTCAGCTTGGATGATAACCCTGTCAGGTCTACAAACATACTAAAAATGCTACTTCATTTCAGCCAAGTTCCAGAGACTGGTGAGTAATTTTATTGCTGTATTGTGTGTATGAATGTGGAAATGTAAAGACAAGACAATACATACGTAAACTGTTGCATCTTCTGCAGGAAACTTTGACTTGGGACAAGTGAAAGATTCCGTCTATTTCTTCAGCTAAACACAAACCACTACTGACAAGATGTTTCTTTGGTGGACTGTTCATATCACATGCCCCATGATGCAGTGTGAGAGGATAAAGCATCTACTACTGTATATTTGGAGTGATGTGAGTTGCAGCATCCTGGACAAGAAGTAAATGTTTGTCTATCCTTCCTGTGGAAGTTTGCTCTGTGTCTCTGACTCAGCTGCCTGTTATGACAGGAACCACTTCTACTTGTTTAGAGGGAAAGAATGCTAACTGTAAATAAAACATGTTTTAGCTAGACTGAAATTTTTTATTTATTACTCCTGATGTTAACACACACACATTAGTGCACCTATTTTCTGAACTTCTAGTGGACAAAACTATGTAAGTAACTAGTAGTAAGTGTTGGCTCTTCCAATTCTTTTGTCGTCAAATGCCATGACTAATCGGAGCATCTCCTGCATGCTCTATATAAAACCTCTACACTCCACTGCTGTGTTAATTCATCCCTGTAATGTCCTCGAAGTAACCTTGAGCCGAAGCAGCTCGTTAGTAATGCGGCAGAGCTGTTCAGTGCACCAATAAAAAGAACCAAGCCAGTCCCAAACATACAGGATCCTGCAGGGTGTAACACATGCTGAGTGTTTTTGTGCTGTACTGGCATTGGAAATATATTTTTTGTCAAGCAATTAGTCACACACAATTCAGAAATAACGGTTTATTGCACACACAGAGAAGCTGGAATAATTTGCTCAATAAAGTGCAGCTTCTGAGAAGACAGGAGATATCCTGAAACCTCCTTTATCAACCCCTATACCCCTTAAAATACATTCATTAGTGACACTGTCATCCAAAGGCAGTGGCACTGGAACAGAGGGGGAGGAGGGGGCAGCTCCCACCCCTAAATCTCTCTTGGAAAAGATTTGTGTTCTTCTCCACAAGTAATGGGACCTGCAATATATTTATTTTAATGAATGCTCCTAGAGAGGCAGTCCCTCTTATCAAGTATATATGGCATATATTTAATTTTGTTTTTCATTAAATATACAAAATATCATACAGAAAATGGAATGTTTTGGTAATCTTAATACAAATTGCTGCTGCTGTATAAGATGGTCTGTCTAACTGCTAGTCAGAATAGCTGGGTGGGTTATTTCCTCCACTTTAACGGAAAACATTTACATATTTCTTAGTCTTTCCATCAAATACAGCCTTTGGTAATACTGTAGTGCTACTTAAAGATTCATAGGTGAGTATCACATTTTATTAACATGTGCACCCTGGGTCGTTTTCTATATCCTTTAAAATAGTATTTACTGTAAATGTAGCCATTAAAAGGTTAATTTGTATTGAAGTTTTAAAAAATAAAATATTACAGGTACTCCTCACTTACCGACCGGGTTCCGTTCTTACGACACGGTCATAGAACGAATTGGTTGGTAAGTGAGGAGTTAAGGGATTCCCTGCTCTGGTGCGCTTGTCTATGTTTGGGGAAATTTCTGCCGAACATAGGTGAACGCACCAGAGCAGGTAATCCCTCTAATCTATGTTCGGGCAAATTTCCTAGAGCATAAATTAGAGGGATATCCTGCTCTGGTGCGCATGTCTGTATTCAGGGACATTTCCCCAAACATAGATGAACACACAAGAGCCGGGAATCCCTCTAATCTATGCTCGGGCAAATTTGCCCGAACTTGATTAGAGGGATTCCCTGCTGTGTTGCGTTTGTCTATGTTCGGGGATATGCCCCTGAACACAGACAAAAGCTGCATAGCAGGATATCCCTCTAATTCCCACAACGACTCGCACTTACCACCCCGCGAGAGAGCTGGTTGTAAGTGCGAGCCGTTGTAAAACAAGTAGGTCGCAAAACGACGTCTGTACCAGTTTAAGACTTACAAACTTCAAAAGTGAGAAAAATTTTGGTCTAGTAAACTTAATTTATAAATATAATATACAATGAGCTACTGAAATAAGCAGGAACCTCAATAAGGTAGTGTGGACAAGCCTTGCTATAGGGTGTACTTAGACACTCCTTACATGCCTATATCTGCCTATAACTGTTGGGGCATCTAGCTTATCCTGTAGTCCTAAGTCCTCATCAACTCCGCATTCTTGTTAAAATTTTTTAATAGTTTCTCATTTATTAAACGAGACCTCATGGAGGGGAGGTCAGCACACTCAAAATGTAAAGTGCCAATAATAATTCTCTTTTGGTTTGCTTTATTTAATTTATGGTGTGCGTATATTTTCCCCTACAATGCATTCAGGCTGCTCATGGGGAAAATCTGTTTGTTTTGCAAGCCCTAACTTGCTTAAATCAATGGACTTCTGTGTGTTACCAAGCCATCTTTACATTATATTCTACAGCTCTCAAAATTGGATGTCAAACATTGCTGTTAAAGGAAAACTATTCTTTAGCAAAAAGACTGAACACCATAAAACTGGCATTTATTTACTACCTCAGGAGCATTACTTCAGATCTTTAGCAAATAGGACTGCCCCCCCAATAGGATGCATTTCCACAAAGCACTCTACAGCAAAGATTATTCAAAAATATGCTTTGCGTTAGTGTGCAATCTCTTATGGTTACTATAATTATTGTATCCGAATACAGAGCTTGATATTTTATTTATTTTAAACACCCACCCCTTTTCCTGCATTATATAACAGGATATAGTACAGACTATACATATATAATATACAACTGTGTGATATACACAATATGGCTTTCTAAAATACAATCCATGGACTAAACAAAACATGGTGACAAGGATAATAGTGGTAATAATAAAAAATAAACAAGTTAGCTGTTCCTGGGATCTTGATGATTAGTGTGCGTGGTTGGGATGGACAAAGATTAATTGTGCCAAATTGTATTTCCAGCGGATGTGAATTTAACTTGGTTATTAAAAATGCATATTAATGTACACCGACACACTTTTGTATGTACGTATATTTTGCACAGCAGTGTTACCTTTTTTCATGCCGCTGGTATGTACATATCACATAAGCTAGCTCTAAATTTGTAATAGCGAGAAGTCTTTTTTTAAGCCTATTGCATTATACTTGCCCCTTAAGAGGATTAAGTATTAGAGTATGTAAATGGGGAACATTAACTTTGTAACAACGACCTAGAACACACTGGTATCACACACTAGAATTGTAAACTCTTTGTTTATATTATGTATAATTATGTTCCATATTTCTATAAGGGGGGGGTGGAGTCTGCCACCTGGCCATGACCCTTAACTGTGACAATCCTGGAGAAGGCTTAAACTTCATGACAAACCGCCTGCAGTTTGCAACAACTGGCTTAATTTGCTTTCGACAAAATAAAAAAAATAAAATAAACCCTAGCGTTATCACAACTTCTCACCAGCTACACTTGACCTCAGGCCCCCATTACAGTTATTTTTGGAAAATAGTGTCTCTTTTACGATGTCAGCAGTCTGAATGTATGGAATTTACAAATGTGTGCACATCACTATGTGCAGGGAGTCTGAGAGTTAAAGTCACCACTGCATTTTATCACTGGGAAAACTTTCTTGGACCCTGATCTGACCCTGTATTGCTTCATGTTTTGAAAAAAGAAAAATCATAGGGGTCTGCATCATACTGAATTGCAGATGTGAACACCATGTTGGTGCATGTATTGATCCCTTCATTGGCGCAAAAGACTGATGAAGGCTAGGCCACTCCAGGAGTGGAGAAATAAATGAAGCACAGGAAAGGGGGAGGGGGGGTATACTGTAGTACGACTGTCTCCTCACTTTATAACTGTGCACACGCTTATCTGAAACACTCACCGGAGTGAAGCATTCTTTGTTACTGTATCACAAGTTAGCAGATAGCCGCCCCCTCACAGGATCAGTATCCGGGGCACTAACAACTGAATCCTTTCTCCCCCCTAAGGAGGTAGCCCCTGCAGAGTCTGAAACCCCACCAACTGAACCAGATGAAGACAACTGATGAGAGAGGGTTAGCCGTGCAGGAAATGGGACCCTTGGCCCAGATTGTGGCCCAAATCCTCCCTTTGCACCTGTGGAGGTAAAGCTGCCAGCAGTTGGAGGGGGTGCTGGTGGGCTGCGGAGCTGTGATGCCCCTTGAGGCAATGAGGGCTGTGAGGCAGAGAGTGGGCGAGATTCACGGGTCAGAGTGGCAGAATGTAAGGAGTGGGTGCTCTTATGGACGGAAAGCCGATGAGGGGAGACAGAAGATCCAGACTGAGTAAGAGATAGCTGAGAGCCAGTTTGGCCCTTGGCTGGGTAGGCAAAGTTCTGTGACACCCGTGGAGATTGTGAGGGAGGGCTGGCTGTGTTTGTCTGCCGTTGAGCTTGAAGTGGGGGCTGATGATGCTGTAGGAGTTGCAGTGGGGGCTGGAACAGAGCTGGAGACAAGGAAAATCCCCCTGACCCTCCTTGAGCATACTGGAGCCTCCTCATTATACGTGGAGATCCAACCAAAGGGCTGGCCATTGGGGGGCAGAAACTCATGGCTACAGCTTGTTGCAAAGTAGCTATTGCAGAAGTAACCTGCGGTTGAGGGGATGGAGGATTGCATGTGGCATACATTCCACCACTCAGTTGCTGGATCTCTGCCTGATGTACCATTTCCCTGTCATACTTTACAATTTCCTGTATGATCTCATTCTCCTGATTGTTGAAGACACCAGAGTTAAGATCATGCTGAACTTTGTGCATGAGAATGGAGTTCTTCTTCCCTGTTAGTTGATAACACAAGTGTTATTTAATAGTCAAATTTCTTTTGATCAAGCACAGTCTATTTACACAGTACTTAAACACAAAAAATATACATTGGTAAATAGAACAGTTTTAAGCCATAAAAGTACTTTGAATATCCAATCACCCAATATAAATGTAACCTATATCTACCATGCACTTTATTAATAACCCTTAAGGAGATGACAAATAACAGGCTTATAAAGGAACTGAAGAAAAATGGCAGCAAGTCACAAGGCATGATATAGTGTTAATGTGGGTTGTCATATAGTCTTACCAATCCTGTCCAGTCTGTCTATGGCCACAGTCTCAAATGCACGTCTCATCATGGGATATTCCTCCAAAACCTCATTGAAATGATCCACAGAGAGAGAGTAGAGCCTGCAGTAGGTGTCAGCACGGACACTAGCAGTGCGTCGGCCACGGGTCAACAAGCAGATCTCTAGCAGAGACAAAATAAACCAGGTCACTATGTATCCGTTCATTTCGGATAAGGTCGTTTCGTATCCTGCCATGTCTATTTCAAAATGCTACCTTTGACCACGATAATGTCACTGCTTCTCTAATTTGACAAGGCAAACGTAAAAAAAAAAAAATAAAAAAAATAAACATTCCTGAGCAAATCAGCTCAGTATTGCCACAATAGGAAAAATCGAATAGGATCACAGCTTTCCCCTTGTACAGGTTTAAAATATTGTCCTCGCTGGTAAGTATTGCCTTCTGGGGAAAAACAAGCTAATCATGGAGCAATCACCATGGAAACCAATAGAATATCTTTCAGCATTTAAGGCGTTGCACCTAAAGTAACACCTGTTTTGCGTGGATGAATCACCCTCACCCACCCTTTTATATTTTGGCTGTAACTTCTTAGAGATATCAGAATATGTATATGGAGGTCAGAAATAGAAATATAAAACCACTTAATGTAAATATTTGTGCATTTCTGCTAGCTTAATGTTTATATAATTTATTATGTTCTGTATCTACATGTAAAGGTGGCAGGAGTCCTTTAACCTTTTAAGGCAAAATAAATCTGTGCCATCATAACAATTTCTATGTGGAATGTTCTCTAGCTGCAGACAGTAAATGAACAGAACATACAATATTAGCATTGTGTCTGTGTAGACCTACTATATTCCCTGCAAGTGGTTAACAGATACTCTCTTTATTCAAACCACTATTTGAATAACTGGTTCCAAATTTCAGTAGGGAATAAGGATATCCTCAAGCAACATACCTTTTACTACTGGACTGTGTTCATTTGCTATTAAATATCATGGTCAGGGAGCGATTATTGCATACAAGCAGAATACCGTACATCCTAATTACATATATGTCACAGTTACCATGATTCTACCTTGCACTGGAATCCATAGCAATGAAGGAAGCAATATACACTGCTCAAAAAAAAATAAAGGGAACACTTAAAGGAACACTATAGTCACCTAAATTACTTTAGCTAAATAACGCAGTTTTAGTGAATAGATCATTCCCCTGCAATTTCACTGCTCAATTCACTGTCATTTAGGAGTTAAATCACTTTGTTTGTGTTTATGCAGCCCTAGCCACACCACCCCTGGCTATGATTGACAGAGCCTGCATGAAAAAAAAAAACTGGTTTCACTTTCAAACATATGTAATTTACTTTAAATAATTGTATCTCAATCTCTAAATTGAACTTTAATCACACACAGGAGGCTCTTGCAGGGTCTAGCAAGCTATTAACATAACAGGGGCTAAGAAAATCTTAATTAAACAGAACTTGCAATAACGAAAGCCTAAATAGGGCTCTCTTTACAGGA